ATAGACTAAAGACGGTTCTTGATAACTTTATTAGCCTAAACCAAAGTGCCTTTATGTCTACTAGACAGATCTCAGACAACATTCTCCTGGCCCATGAAGGTTTTGAAGCTCTTTCAGCTACTCTAACCAAGAAAGCAACTAGCAAGAAAATCTTCAGAATTAAGGTTAACAAATATTCCCCCTCCATCACACACTTCCTCTTTGTTGATGATAGCTTTCTCTTCTCAAGAGCAAGCCTTTAATAGATAAAAGAAATCCTTCACTCACTTGAGCTCTATGAAAGGGCCTCGGGGCAAAAAATTAACCTCCAAAAGTTTGAAGTTTATTTCAGTAAGAACACTCATGAGAGTTGCAAAGACTCATGTTTAGGTGCCTAAATTTGGGGTTGCCTTTAGAAATACAAAGATCAAAACAAAGCACATTTGGTTTTATCTCTGACAGGGTGGATAATAGAGTTAGAGGTTGGAAAAACCAAACCCTCTCCCCTACTGGTAGAGAAGTGCTAATTAAATCTATATCCTCCTCTCTACCTGTATTTGCCATGTCTTGCTTCCAGATCTCCAAGAGCCTTTGTGACAATATCTCAAAGCTCTAGAGAGGCTTCTATTGGGGTGATACCAATCAGAAGAAAAAAATTCCACTAGTTAAAGTGGGACACACTCTGTAAAAACAAGTCTATTGGAGGTTTAGGCTTAAGAGACCCATATGCTTTCAATATGGCTTTACTGACCAAGCAAGCTTAGAGAATCCTGTATAACTCAGATTCCCTCCTAGCTCAAATGCTTGAGGCAAAATACTACTACAGAGATACCTTTATTTTTGCCAAAATCCCAAACTGGTCTTCTTGGGTTTTTTTTAGAAGGCCCCTTAGGGCAAATTCATTCATCAACAAACTCAGTTTACATCTCTTGTACAATAGTATTGAAGAGGAAATCAGGTACTTGAGACCAAGTTTTAACTCTTGTACAAGTAATAGCAAATTTAGCCAATTTATGTGTAGCCATGTTAGCTCTTCTAGGAATGTTATAAACTGAGTAACTTGAGAAGCAACACAATAGTTGTTTGCTGTTAGTGACTAAGACGTTAATAGACCACGGTGGATGCAACGAATCCACCAACAGACATTTGATTAAAGTGAGGGCATCACTCCCAACCAGAATGCGAGAAATACCCACATCTAAAGCCAGGGAAATAATTAAGAAAGGAAGCTTATGGAGAATATGAAATGGGAAATCAGTGAATGTGTGGAGTGACCCTTGGATCCCTACATTAAGAGGTTTTAGAATCCCTATCCCTATGCTGGTGGGATGCGCAGTTTCCAAAGTTAGTGATCTAATAGATGAAAACTCTCTCTCTTGAAAATCCCAAGTAATTAGGGACTTGTTCACTTATGTAGCCTCAGAAATCCTTAAGATCTATACTCCCTCAATAGATTGCAATGACAAAACCTAGTGACCTTTGCAAAAAATGGAGAATTCACTATTGGGTAGGTAAGTCTCTTTGTGATAATTCAGCTAATAGATCCATAAGCATCAACCCTCGGGAAATCAAGTTGTGGAAATTTATTTGGAAACTACCCTTGATCCCAAAAAGTAGTATTCCTCTAGAAAGGTCTAAATGATGGAATTCCAGTGAGAAGCCGCCTAGCTTGTAGGTTGCAAATTGAGGATCCTAACTGCTCCCTTTGCCATCTGAGGCTGAATTAGTTATGCATGCCTTACTTTATTGCCCCCAAGTAAAACCCATTTGGCTATTATCAAATTTTGGTCTCCGAATTGATCCCTATCCTGGACTACACCTTAAGGAATGGCTTCTCTCCCAAATCCAAAGTTTACTGAGATTCAATTGTTCTTATCTTCCTTTGATGTGTTCTTTTGTATATTTGGCTTAGGAGAAACAATTCGATATTTAAGAACCAACTGGAGGACCCTCTTCTAACTCAAGCTCATGTTAACATGATCTGCCAAGAATCTCTACTAATCCGGGATTAGGGTCAAGCCTTGGCCCCCTCAAAGATCATTAGTAGAAGCTTGGATTTGCATCTCCAGCTTCCCCACACAAGTTTTGCCTATTTATGGACCGACGACAATTTCCCTCAAAATTCCTATGCAAGTTATGGTGTTTTGATGTGGAGTGATGAAGGTCAAATCCTAGCTGTATGGTGACCTCAGATATCCCTCACTCTACTTGAAGTGGCTGCTATCCTTTAGGGTGTAAAACTCGCAAAATCTCTTGGTTTCTCAAATATATTTCTCCACAACGACTATAGAATGGCTATAAACCTCTTGAAGCTGCGATCTCATCTCCTAGTGAATGACTGCTTCCCCCCATTCATTAAGATCTTTTGTGAGCTAAATGGTTTAAATTATTTTGGGTGTACGTTTATTTCACGAACTAGAAACTCTACAGTGCATTTTTTGGCTAGTCGGGACTGTCAAAAGGGGTACTGGTTACATCCTCTCCCTAGCATCCTCAATACTCGACTTAGGACCTTTGTTAATGATCTTTGTACTCCCCTTTCTAGGGGTTCTATTAATGAATGATTTCACTTTTTACCAAAATAAATCACAACTTAGGCATGCTTGTACTCAAAATGAGAACAAAGTTTGTATTAAAAAAATTGATACAAACTTTACATTGGTTGTTGGTCAATGTAAAAATGGTAGATTTCAATATTTGAATCCATGTTTATACTCATTATAACAAAAATCGTTTGGTTGGAATATAAAATTAAAGCAATATATATTCATAAACTTGTCAAACGGGTATACAACTATACATGTATTTACACCCAAAACAAATGCAAGGAAATTAAGAAAACAAGGTTGAGTAGGGTGGGGGAAAGAGGTTCCTACACTTTCTACTTTAGCATGTGTAAGATAATGTAGCATATAAAGTTTCCTAAATAGGTCAATTGGTCTATCTCCTTAGATGATCTAATCAATTTCTTTGACATCTAAGGACCTTGTGCCTAATCTTGAATCTAGACTGTCCAAATATATGACTCTCTAGGCCTGTCATGTAGGACTTCAAATAGATTGTATTTTTCTACCAAAAAAATGAATTGTATTTACTCCAATTGGGATTTTAATTCAATTTATTTAAATCAAATCTAGAAATCCATTTATCCACAGTTGAATCTGAATGAATGATTAATCTATTAATCATATAGCATTTGAACATTGCTGGATTTTATTTGATTATACATATATTAGCGGTGACCTGTGCGATGCATAGGATGCTGTTTAAAAATATATTTTTCTAGGGAGAAAAATGAAATAACAGTGATTTATATTTCTATATTTTTATATGTAGAATAGTGGAAAAAAATAATTTCCTTTTCTTTTCTAGTTATTGATCTTTAGATTTTCCTTAATACATTAAATTAATAAAAAGAAAGGTAGAAAACTTGATAACCCAAGGAAAGGAGCAATGATTTGTTTAGATTGGGTTATGCCATGTACTTGTGGGAAAATTTGAGTCTTTTTACGTTGGGTCGAAGCTAAGGTTCACATTTAGGTTGACCCTTAACCTAACCCAAGTAGGGGTGTCAATGGTATTTGAAAATTTGATTTTGAATTCAAGATTCGACATAATTGAATTGAATTGCGATGATTTGAATATCTAATCGATCGAATTTGGATATCCTATTCATACCAATTAGCTAATTGGATTCGAATTCAAATATGACCTGATTCAATTCGATAATATCCGAATTCGATCGATTATTTAATTCTTATATATAATATATAAAATATTTAAATGTTTTATATAATTTATGTATATAATAATTAAAGTATATAAATAATTTATATATTTGTATACTTTATATAAATAAACTATTTATTTTATATATTTAGTAATTACCTAAAATAATTAATTGGTCGAGCTTTAATGGAATCAAATCAAATATTTGAACATTTAATTGAATTTTAATTCGAATATTAATTTTCAATATCTGTTGGATATCGAATTTTCTAATCGAATTCAAATTCAAGTGTTGCTTGATTTGATTCGAATTCGATTCGTTTACACCCCTAAACTCAAGCTATCAAATTATACCCCTACTTTATTAGAGAGAGATAAAGGGGATGAAGAGATATTTAAGAGGAAAATAAGGATTTTAATGGGGAGGGGAGATATTACAAACATTAAATATTAATGTTAGAGAGAGAGATTTAAGAATGATGTTATTAGATAATAAGTATGAATTTTATGAGAGACAATGAAAACCCATGAGATTTTTAATGATTTAATTTAAAAATAAATATGCAAATGAGAGGAGGAAGAGGAAGTACCTATAAGCTATGTGGTGAGAGGACCTTGACCTCTCCCCTCTTTCCTCTTTCTTTTATACATGTAGATTTGCCTAATTAATATGATTTTTAAAAATTTTATTTTAATTTGAATGATACTAAAAAAAGAATTTTGTACTTGTGTTGGCTAAGGCATCAATTGATGCCCAAACCAATTATGAATCTTCCCCTGGCGCTGGTCCAACCAGTTTCATAAAAGCAACCCGACTCAGTCGCAGCCGGTTTGTTCGAATTCAGCTGGTTGAGTCTGGCCCGAGCTGCAGACACTTTGCGCCAGCTGGTTCCGGCCTTCCACGTTAGGATGCAGAGGCCAGAGTTCCAGGCAACCGTCCACGGTTGCCAATTAGAACCTGCCGTTACAAGTTAAGCTTTGCCTCCGACAGGCGATAGCGATCTTTCACCTGAGGTTAACCGTTAACCTCATTGAATCGAGATTCTAATTAAAAATTTAAAAGAATAGGGTGCATTTGTCATTCGCGGACAATCCTTGGAAATCATCGTCATTTCGTCAAACGTAAAGAGATTTCTTTGTGCGGACATTCTGATCTTTCAAGTACCCAATTAAGGACATGTAAGTCAATTTACAGGAGGGTATATTTGCCATTCGACTTCAAATTTTGAAAACAAACAGCAGTTTTTCCGGCCAGGCAAAAGAACATCTACGCCGTCCCAATTTACCATCCAACGGCATCCAACGGCGATCAAGAAAAAGGAGGGAAAGAATGGGGGCCATTGGATCTCACTGAGTTGTCCTTCACTCACCTATATATACATTTCTAGGGTTCATATTCTTCCTCGTTTTTCATCCCCGATCGAGCTGTATTTCTCCCGCTCGATCGTCGGAATCTTGCCGAAAATTCACGAATTTTCTTCTTACTCCCCCGGCCTCGCCACGCTCCGGCCATCTCGCCGGAAATTTTGTTTAGTCGCTCGGTACAGGTAAATCATTGATCTGTCTCTTCATTTTTCTCAACTCCTCTGTTGTACTTCCAAATTTGAATCTTCACAATACATTTCTGATCGCGGATCTGATCTCTAGATTGATAAAACAGTTTGGCTGTTTAGCCAGTTGCAGAGAGCATTCAATCTGTAGATTCCAATCAGAGTTGGTTAGTTGCCTTTGCTAATTTTTGGAATTCTGTTAGTGATTTCAAGGAAGATGAGAGAAATCCTTCACGTTCAGGGTGGGCAATGCGGTAACCAGATCGGATCGAAGTTCTGGGAGGTAGTCTGCGATGAGCACGGCATAGATCCTACCGGTAGGTATACCGGAACGTCCGATCTGCAACTTGAGCGTGTCAATGTTTACTACAACGAGGCTTCCTGCGGGCGGTTCGTTCCCCGTGCGGTACTCATGGATCTGGAGCCCGGAACCATGGACAGTGTACGGACGGGTCCTTACGGACAGATCTTCCGCCCCGATAACTTTGTTTTTGGGCAATCTGGTGCCGGAAATAACTGGGCGAAGGGGCATTACACTGAAGGGGCGGAGCTAATTGATTCCGTTCTTGATGTTGTGAGGAAGGAGGCTGAGAACTGTGATTGCCTTCAAGGTATAACTACTTATTTGTCCAGATCTTTTGTGGTTTTATCGCATTGATTGTGTTTTATCTGGTTTGGATCTAGTTCATGCTCGCGTGGACTCGTCGTGTTTTCTTTTGAATTTATGTTTTGACTTCTCAGTTGATGGCATCTACTCCTGATGATTCTGAGATTTGAAGTTTTATATCCAATCTGCGTTGTATAATTGCTATTTTTTAATGCTTTTACCTAATTGTCAAATGACAATGATTTTTTATTTGAGTCTCTGACTCCAAAACACTAGAACTTTGTTTCCCGTTTATTTTTCTTTGCCAAAAATCAGTTTTTTTTTTTTTAAATTTTTTTATGTAATTCTATATTTTTCGCACTCAATTATGGTGGAATTTTGTTTTGATTTCCAACCATTTAACTTTGATTCTATTGATTTTCTATTTTACTTTTTAAGTTAAAAAGTTCTTATTGTTTTTTCCTGTCCTCCTTTATTCAGGTTTTCAAGTGTGTCACTCATTGGGTGGAGGAACTGGATCTGGAATGGGTACCTTGCTCATCTCGAAGATTAGGGAAGAGTACCCTGATCGGATGATGCTCACGTTTTCCGTGTTCCCCTCCCCAAAGGTTTCAGACACAGTTGTTGAACCCTACAATGCCACTCTTTCTGTTCATCAGCTCGTTGAAAATGCAGATGAGTGTATGGTGCTTGATAACGAAGCTTTGTATGATATATGCTTTAGGACTCTGAAGCTAACTACTCCTAGCTGTAAGTATGCTTTTCCCAAAATTATTTTAATTGTGCAGTTCAGACATTTTTTTACCTGCTTACATATTTAGTTACTTAAATCTAGTTTATTTTCAACTTTGTTAACATAAAACGAAACATGAGGTCTATCTTCTAATGCCATCGCGCTTTTATGCCATATTGGCTCTTCTGAATACTCCTTGTTTCAATTAATGATTTGTTGTAGTTAATATTAAATTTTGTGATTTATATCACGTTTAAGTATTTGTTTTCAGGTAGGTAATTAATTTCATGCTTAATCATTAACTGTTTATCTCGGTTGAACCACTATGAATTATTGGCTCACAGAGTGGAGACTGCTAGCAATCTTTTTGACTGGATCTTTAGGTTTGGTAGGTTGTCACCATCTAGCCCGCTTGTTCTTATTTTTGTCCTTATCTATGGATGCCCATGGAGATTGGGGTAAAGAGAAGATATATGGTTTTCTGTGTGCAATACCTTGAGCACATCTGACCTGTTTATGGTGGATGTTATTCCATCCTCCCAACTGTTATGAGACATGTATGTGGAGATGGAGTAGTGCGTTTTTCTATATTATGTGCCTATTTGCCGCCAGATAATTGGCATTGGACATGCAAGCTGTGAGAATGGATCCGCCCTTTCCAGATCCATGTTGATGTTTGCAATATTAGTAGTGGGTCACATAAGATCTGTTCACAATACATAATGCATCTACAGGGAAATGGAGCGGTGTGGACCCTTCTAATAATTGTGCCCCATGTGCTTATGTGAAATGATGTGTTACCCCTGTTGTGTTCACTAGACAGCTTGTTTTTTTGAGGTTTTTGTTGTGTTCAATGGATTCCATTGGCTATTTGACTTCTGGTGTCTACAAACTCTCTGTCCCGTTGTGCTGTGCAAGGCCATTACTGTTTATTAGAGTATATATTTACTTGTTCCATTTTTTGGTTCCTTTCTTGCAATAATTGACACCCGTTTATTTGTTTGTTTTTCCACAGTTGGCGATCTGAATCATTTGATCTCTGCGACAATGAGTGGTGTCACCTGCTGTCTCAGGTTCCCAGGTCAGCTGAACTCTGACCTGAGGAAGCTTGCAGTGAATTTGATCCCATTCCCCCGTCTCCACTTCTTCATGGTTGGATTTGCTCCTCTAACCTCCCGTGGTTCCCAGCAATACCGAGCCTTGACAGTACCAGAGCTGACACAGCAGATGTGGGATGCCAAGAACATGATGTGTGCAGCTGACCCACGTCATGGCCGCTACCTTACAGCCTCAGCTATGTTCAGGGGTAAAATGAGCACCAAGGAAGTGGATGAACAAATGATCAACGTGCAAAACAAGAACTCTTCCTACTTTGTGGAGTGGATCCCAAACAATGTCAAGTCCAGTGTGTGTGACATTCCACCAAAGGGACTGTCAATGGCGTCCACCTTCATTGGAAACTCCACTTCCATCCAGGAGATGTTCAGAAGGGTGAGTGAGCAGTTCACTGCTATGTTCAGGAGAAAGGCTTTCTTGCACTGGTATACTGGTGAAGGAATGGATGAAATGGAGTTCACAGAAGCAGAAAGCAACATGAATGACCTTGTCTCAGAGTACCAGCAATACCAGGATGCCACTGCTGATGAGGAAGGTGATTATGAGGAGGATGAGGAAGGCATCCAGGAGATGTGAAGAAGGAACAACTAATGTAGACCTACTTGATTTATGTTGAATGATGCTAGTTATGTCTACTACTTTTTTCAAGTGCTTGAAAATTTTTGGTTTCCATCTGATTGGGCTGGTGATGATGGGGATAGTAGTACAAGTCCCAGAGTTGGGAAAGTTGTGCACTTTTCTTTCTCTTGGGATGAGTAGATGTAGCAGAAATGATTCTGGTGTAGTGAAAAATTGATGGGATGTTGAAAGATGCTAGGTTTTGTTACTTTCGTTCCTTTATATTGCATATTCTATTCAGTGTATGTAGTATAAGCACCTTTTCCGTTGTCCCGAAGTCTCTTGTCCTCCATGTTTTATCAATCACTGTTGGTTTCTGTTACAATTTAGTAAGAATTGGTTTATGCGCCTATTTTTGTTCCTTCGTTCTTCTATTTGATTTGCTATGCCTAACCCAAACCAAATAGTTACTTGTTTGAATGATGAGGTTAGGTTGGTTAAGGTGTCGCAATTACATTTGGAAATCTGAGGCCCCAAATTTTGGGCTTAGGTTAGGTGATTCGCCAATATGTTAGTGGGCCAACCTGAGCCATATTCATTACTGCCGCTCAATTAAGATCTCCAGTCATGTGGATATTGAATATTCTTAGGGATTTCTTGGCCAACGACACAGTTTGCTGCCACGTAATTAGGGTTTTGGTGTTGTATGTTGCCTGCAGGAACAAAATATGCTTGTAGTGAGAGAGTGCTGACTACTCGAACCATAGCCATACAGCATCCATGGTGATTGGTGCGATCTGGCCAACCTTAACCAGTCACCTTCTCCCTATTTGTATTGCGTATCAGACGTTTCATTAACGGGCTCGGCCCCTAATATTACGCATGAAGCTGGCCCACGAACCGAAATATATAAGTCAAACCCCATCTCTTTGATGGATCACAAGTCCCGATGCTGGTCTCTTGCACATGAAATTGATATAAGGGCCTGGGTTTATTTTGTTAAAGACTTTCTAAATGGCAAAATATCAATGGTAGATAAAAGATTTCCTGATTGGGTCAACTGGCTGTTTGGTTTGAAAAAAAGCGAGAAACAGATAGTTGAGAGAAATCTCCGGATTTTTGCATTTTTGAAATGCATTGTTTATAAAGGAAGTTTCTTAAGGACCTCAACTTTCAGTTTCTATCTTATTCTCTATCAAACCAAATATAGGTTAGGGAATCGCCGTAGACAATAACTCCAGATATTTATGTCAATATGGAAGAATCCTGTGACTGATATGTTCTGTTTATGGACTCTCCGGATCAAGGTACAAAGTATTATTACGTATCGGCCCGTATTGACTGATATGTATTGTTCCGAGACCTTTTTGATACACCCCTACAATGGGTGTATCGGGGGTCTGACCAGTTCAGGGGATAAAGGGGTCCTAGACCGGCTCTCCTGAACCAATTAAAAAAAAAAAAGTAAAAAAACAAGTATCGAAACACCCGATACACCCCTACCGGCGTATCGAACTTATCTATATTTTAACCTTGTTCTGGATTATCAATGTAATGCACTTCTGGGTCCACATTTTGATATTAATCGTACTCTTATACCTTCTATTGCCTTCAGGCTTTCAATTATTTTTAATATGAAAAAAGTAATTGCAAAGAAGATTTTATCCTGAAACATGTGGAAAGCTTTCTTGGTGATATTTACCATTTATAACTGAAGCACATTGGGAAGAGCTCTTGGGGTCTCTTCTGCCCCATAATTGGTTGCCACATGGACGGTTATTAAGTCATTTAGGGAAGCTAACTGAATGACCTTAATAGTAGACCCATCTCTATATTAGTTACATTACAAGTGGGCAATGGAGGTCACCAAAGTACCTTGGGTCTCTGAAGTTCTGGCCTAGCTTCTTTGCTATGCAATTTCATTTCCGCTGTCCCAAAAAGTATGGGAGTGCAAATGAGTTAAATGCAAGTACTGATCTGGGCTGCATTTGGCATTCCCTATTTTGAGGACTTACCTCCTTTTTGCTGTTAAAATGCCCCTATGAATATTAAGTTTTTAACTGTAGAAAGGAGATAAGTCCGTAAAAATTATAAGGAATACCAAATGCAGCCTCATTCTTGGTCTTAGGTTTTACTTTGGTTTTATTGCAATGTAAATTAAAACAAAGCTTAAAAGCAGAAAATTAAAAATCAGTAGTTAAAAATGAATCAAAATTTACACTTCTGATTTGCGTTTCTTTGCATTTGTACTAGTGCCAAAAAAATTCCATTGCAAACAAAGGGAGTCTTAGGATTAGAATAAGTTTAATGATAACCAGCATGTACATTATTATCATGTTTTATTAATAAGGCAACTAAAAGCAAAATTTGCATTCTCTAGTATTACAAGCAGTAAAATTTGTACTCTTGATTACATTACCAATTTATTTAATACAAACACTTGCACTAATTATTCAAGGGTTCGCACATAAAGGAACTTAAGATTTTTGCAAGACATTGGGCTAAATTCTTAGCGTGCAATATCAATTGCCAATATGAAGTCGTCTCCCAAGCTTTCTTGACCTGTTGCATTTCCATTACTAATTGTATAGTTTGAAGGTTCACCCAGAAAGTGTTCAGTTTCCTCTTGATTTCCTTCTATCCATGGATGCTGTTGGGACTTTCTCACCCCTTCAAGCTCTGCTGCCACTTCTTTCATTGTGGGCCTTTCTTCACCTTTTACCGTTAGGCATCTCTTTGCAAGCATAGCAACAGCCAATAATTGCTCTTTGTTTCCTTCATTCAGAACTCTATTCTCGAGTATTTCGAAGAGACGGTTCTCTTTGATTGAAGAAAGGAAATACATGGCTAAACTTTTATGTTCTGGAGGCCTCTCTGGTGACAGTGGTTTTTCCCCAGTTAATAGCTCCACAAGGACTACACCAAAACTATAAACATCACTTTTGTCTGTTATTTGACCTGTATGAAAACATTCTGGGTCCAAATAACCTAATGTCCCTTGAACCAGTGTAGTCATTTGAGTTTGATCCGTAGGAACCAACCTTGAAGCTCCAAAATCAGATACTTTTGCAATATAATTACTATCCAACAATATGTTGGCAGTCTTCATATCCCTATGAAGAACTGGTATGGAATGTGCAGAGTGCAAATAGGCTAATGCTCCTGCAGTTTCAGAAGCAATTCTCAGGCGACTTTCCCATGGAATAGATGATGTGTGATCTTCATTATGGAGGTGCTCGTAAAGGGTTCCGTTGGAGATGAATTCATAAACCAACAAGGGTACTTCTGTCTCAAAACAACAACCCAACAGCTTCACCACATTCCTATGGTTGATTTGAGACAGGATGCCAACTTCATTTATAAATTGTAAAATTTGGCTTTTATCCATTATTTTAGACTTCTTAATGGCAACTACTCTTTTATCTGGTAGAATTCCTTTGTAAACCATGCCATAACCTCCTTGACCAATGACTTGACTTTCACCAAAGTTGTTTGTTGCCTTCTTAAGGTCTTCTTCACTAAAGATCTTGGCAATGTCGGAAACACCTCTACGGGAAGAGATCTGCTGTTGTAATAATAAACCACCATTTTGTTGAAAGAACTTCTGTCTAAGTTTGATAAGCTTTCTTTTCTTCATTGTGTAATATAACAAAGAAACACAAGCAAGTAGAAAGAGAATGCTGAGACCAGTACCTGGAAAGAAAATTACTAGTATGTGAAGCAGTAGTTTGAAGTCCTTAAAATCATCATTAATAAATTGACAAAAAGTTTAATGGTGCAAGTCTTGCCAAGTTATTGGATTGAGTTTAACCCCGACCGACCCCCAATTGATCAGATTGGGTTCAGGTTGGCGTAATTTCTTCACTTCATTTTTATTTTAAGAAATATTCTCACTTCTCTGATTTAGGATTTCTTAGTCATGTTACACTGAGAAGTCTTAAACTTCAAACTTGAAATTGTTCACATACATATATACATGTCGGGTTTGGATTATGTTGAGTTGCCTGAAGCTCAATCCTAACTCAAGCCAAAATTAAGTTGGGTTTATATTTTCAACCATAATCCTTACCTGACCTTCAACCTAACTCAACTCTTTTTTAAGTTGGGCTGAACCTAATGGCTAAGGTCTGCTTATTGGTGTCTGAATGGATCATTGCACTTACAAACATGTATCACCTTTGAGTCCAGCGCTACCAAATACAGGGTATGACTGATTGACCCTTGAAAAGGTATCACTTTCTGCAGATCCTATTCCAGATAATTAAACATGAATAGCAGGGGAGCATTTGGGCATTTGGTAAATTTTTGAAGGAGCCTGGCCTGAGAGATTGAGCTTGATGCAGTGTAAATTCTTCAAATCGTGTATTCCATTTGCACCGTTGATGAAAATAGTTTCTCTGATATCCCATTTTATACCAGCATTTCGCACTCACTTTTATTGGAGTTTTTCCAAGTCATTTTGTTCTCGCTCAATTTGGAAGGAGTACAAATACAAATATGTAAGTGCAAAACTTTATATTGTGTATGTAATTGTACCGTATATGTTTGTATTTGTATTCTTTCCAAACTGAGCCTACATGAGGCAGGACTGGACAAAATTCAATACCGAAATGCAATGTTCCGATTTCAGAGTCGTGTATGTCAATGCCTAAAGCAATTTTGGTATATTAGAAATCCGCCTCAGACCTTTAACGCTTTATTGATTTGAGCTGGTTAAAGCTTTTGAGGTGTTGTTGGAAAAGTACTTGAAAGACAACCGAAAAGTTTGGTGGGCAAAAAGGGGAAGCAATTTTTTTATTTTTTTTTTTAAACTATGGTTTCATAACTTCATAATAGAGACGTATGTTGTGATATCATGCCAGTCACCAGCTGGGAACCAGAGCTGCAACTTAGGTTTGGTTCAATGTGAACCTCAGCCAATCCAACCTGAGCTTTTGCACAGATGGTGCTTGAGTTTTTGGATTTTGGGATGGGCTTGGGTTAAATTCGTGGGCTTTACTTAATTCAAACTGGGTTTTCATTGTTCAATTCAAATTTCACCTTGTGCTCCCAGGAATGTTTGTTTTCCTCGGTAAGTGATTTTCTCGCCTAGGTTGAAGTTGCCAACACTTGAGTAGAACAAAAATGTCCTTTTAATAATGGAATTTTATAGCTAAAATGATAATTGCCTTATTTGTATGAAAAATAACAAAACATTGGTAAATGTACTTACTGGGGTAAGTCTTTTTTGGGAAACAATTACCGGGTAAGTGCATTTACCTGGATAAATAACTTACCGAAAAACGAACGGGGCCTCAAGGGTAAATTACAAATACCTCCCTTTTACTATGGATTCAGTGACAAATACCCTTCTATTTGCAGCAAAGACCACCTGAAGTTTCAATTTGTGACAATACCCATGAGTGCAAGTCAGATTTTGAACGTGTTAAATTACCAAAATGCCCACCTAAACTTTCCTTATTTTATTTCCCTCAAATTTTCTCTTAAACCCTAATTGACGAAATACCTCCATTTTCTCTAAACGAAGCTAGCTAAAATAACATGAACTGTTTCATTGGCATATTTTCTTTTTTTTTTAATTCTTGATTCATTTCACTAATATGAATGTCCCTCTTCATCTTAAAATATAAAAATTATCCACTCTCAATTTTTCTCTTAAACCCTAATTGACGAAATACTTCCATTGTCTCTAAATGAAACTAGCTAAAATAACATGAATCAATTCATTGACATATATTTTTTTTTTAATTCTCAATTCATTTCACTGTATGAATGTCCCTCTTCATCTTAAAATATAAAAATTATCCACTCCCTCTATTGGAGCAATCAAGAGGGTTTTAATGTTATAATAGAAAACTAATCAAATCATAAATCGTTTAAATAAATAAGAAAAGGGTAATTTGGGGATTTAAAGAAGCTCTAATGGAAGGGGGTATTTGTCACAAAAGTGAAATTTCAGGGAGTATTAACCATTTGTCTTAAATGAAAGTTCAAGGGGTATTTGTCATTGATAGGAGTGGCCACGAGCCGAGCTTTTTACGAGCTGTTCGAGCTCGGCTCAACTTGGCCAACTTGGTCTAAACTGAGCTTTGAGCGGAAACTGAGCCTAATACATAGGCTAATTTTCTAATCGAGTCGAGTTCGAGCCTAATAAAGCTTGACTCATGAGGCTTGTGAGCCTAATCGAGCTTTTTACATATGTATATATTTACATATAGGGTGTCACCTCAACTGCTAAGCGAGACTTTGGATTGTTGATAGCTGAGGGAGACCTTGGCTTGACACCTCGACAGCTAAGAGATACTTGCAATTAGAGGCAATCGAGGTCTCCCTTAGCAACCAAGGTGACAAGCTACTCCAGCAACACGCTTAATGCCGAGCTTGTACTTATGAGTTTTTGACTCGAGTTGAGTTTGAGCTCAAGTCTCTAGCTCAAGTAGAGCTTGAACCTAATAGTTGATTAGCGTGCCAAACTCAAATATCCAGATATTCGGCTCGGTTAGAATCCACCCCTAGTCACTTGACCCATATTTGGGGGTCTTAATTTGATTAAGAGATATTGAAATGAGAAAATTACCTCCAACAACCGATATAACTGGAAATGCTTTGGTACCACGGATACAGCCTTTTCCTTTTACTTTACCATCACCACGATAGCCATGTCGACAAGAGCAGCTGTAGCTACCGTTTGTATTTACGCACCGGGCTTCTTCCACGCAGGGATTGTTGTGGATGTCTCTACACTCATCAATATCTTCATCATCCATTACCAACACATAAACACAGCTTAGTGAAGACCAAGAGACAGCTTTGAGAGAGAGAGAGAGAATTTTATTACCTTGGCATCCTTGGGGAAGGTATGGATTCCCTTGGTAACCTTCTTTACAGTGGCAAAGATACCCAGAACCATTTGTGGAGGTGGAGCAATTGCTGTTGGGGCCACATGCATTTCCTGCTTCTTCACACGTCGTCTTCTCGATAACAAACTCAAGCACCGCCGGAGCGGTTCTGGGTCTATCCCCACTGAACGACAGGTCTGACCTTGAGAAATTGAACCAATCTTGGTCAGCCACGAAGGCATAGCTGCACGGATTGAAACTAAAGCATCTTGTGTGGTTATAGATGCTATAGAGACTTATGGTAATATTGTTGAGTTCCGTCGGAATTGGGGACTGGCAGCACCCAATACCAGAGCAAACTCCATCAGTTACGTTGCCGAGGCTGTTGCAAACAGAAACGCACCCAGTCGCTAAGTTTTCGTCGGAGGAATCTGTCACGAAAGCGATGGTGTCACAGCCTATGGCTGTGAATATATTGCGCTTCTGTGAGAGCGTGAACAGCTCGCCCTTTGAGAACCACGAAGATAATGGAGGATATCTAAAACCGACCTCAGTGTAACAATCTTGGGCTTGCGGGAGACTGATCTTCACTAGACCTTCTTCCAGTGAAATATTCAGAATCGGGATGTCACTAATGGTAAGAACTGGAGGGTGTAATATGTCGTTGCAGACCAACTCGAAGGATGGATTTTTGAAACAGGTAGGATCTCCGATACCGAATGGGTAGGGGATGCTGATACTTCCACAATTTTCACGGCAGCCGGGCATTGCGAAGGGGACGACTTCCGCTGCAGCCGGTGCTATAAGACATAGTAATAAGATCGTTAGGCCCCAAGACATCATCTGATTTTGTCTGTTTTTCTCTCCCTTCAGACACGACTGAAAACCTGAAAACCTAGCGAATGTAGAAAGGAGACAAGGGTAGAGCACAGCAACTGAGCAAGTTTCTATCCTAGAACTAGCTGGGTCGTAATGGCGTCCTCACTTATTGCACTCGGGAGGAAACTGTTGATGGCCGTTGATGCTTGTCGTTTATTATGTATGTGTGTTTTCATAGTTTTGTTTGACCCATTCCTCTCCTCCGCTTACTTTCAACGTGAACAACAAGGCGAGGTCCCCACACGGGATTTGCTGTAGAGTGTAGACTGGGGTGCAGATCAGAAAAATCAGATCAAATTTGAACCATTACTATCCAATATGAAAAAAATCCGATCCTTGTATTTTTTATTATTTATTTTTTTATAAAATGACATGTATATGTATATGATGAAAATACTTAAAAAATACTTCATATTTTTTTGTTTTTCTTTATTTTTCCCTTTTAATAATTTATAAATTTTCAAAAATTAAATCAGATTCACATATCCAACATCTTTAATGAATTCTGATTCGAATTAACATTTGTAAGATCTAATCGGAATATATCCTAATTCAAATCCAATCCAATACGTTCGCACCTCTAATAGGCTAGTGGTGCAATTTTAGATGTCCTAATTCCTCCTTTTGAATCAATATGAATTTTTGCATGGATTGGAATCGATTTTTGGACTCTGTGCTTAAGCCTAGATAGAAACCTTTTGCTTGACCTAAACCAAGGCTGGGCTTGGGTAGCCCTAGCTTGAATCCATCGAAATAAATACATACATACATACATATATGTATCATAGTTAAGAAAAAATATTTTTTTAATTATTTTTACATACATATCAAAATTAGACCTGTTCATGGGCCGGGCTTTTGGCCTGACTTATACAGTATCGGATTGGGCCTCATTCAAATTTTGACAAAAGCGAAGCCCGAGACCGACCTATGAACAGGTCTAATCAAAACTGATTAAATCCAACCTAACCAACCCAGAGTTGTATTGGGTTATGCTTGGATTGAACCAAAGATTTTCAAGTTTCCTTGGATTAATCTTCAAGCCGTCCTAATCCGTCCGAGTTGTACTCCTACCATTATACGACGGGGTATGGAACACAGAGGAAGGATATGCTACACATGATGATTGTTGAATGGGCTGTGAAACTAATTATTCCTAATAAAATACATGTAACCTGCATTTATGACAGTGGGGCCTATGAATTTATTTCTGACATAAATTCTTTATCATTGGTTCTACAACCCACTGAACAGTAAAGGGATCATAGGGGTGTCCCACAATGTCCCATACGAGATGTTCCCAACATAAGGTCGGGATGTGCTGTGGGGCATTGTGGGACGCCCATTGTGAGGCGCTGATGTGAATTCCATTAAAGTCATTTTTCCAAAAATTTAACACAATTATAAGCTCAATTGAGACCAGATGCTCCTGGCACCGACTTTACTGACACATCTCATCATGCATAAAGAACATCTCCCGTAATTTGTGCATTATTATTGAGATATTCCAAATGCACAGTGGGATGTGCCTTTAAGGTTGGTGTATGATGCACTCGTGAAGAACATATCTCAATTACATTCAATCGCTACTTGCCCTTTATTGTGGTACATCTACATGTACTAACAACGTGAAACTACTTTTTGCTACAAGACTTGCCCGTTGTACACGGCTTGTTTGTATGTAAAAAATTCTCAATGACAAGTAAATGGGTGACAATTGTGGTTGGCTGCATTTGTAGAAAATGGAGGTTATGTGTGACTTGGGAAAGTTGACTATTATTGACTTATTATCTAAAACTTATTATTACTTTTTTACATTTTTTTTTTAAATTTATCATGACTTCTCAAAACATTCTCAAAGCCGCTAGAGTTTCATTGTTAGTGACCATTAATAAAAGTCGTCCATGTAAACAAACATCTATGTATTTTATATGATTAAACTGCTCCTAACCGGTAAATCAATCTTATTTAATATTCTTATGACAAAATTATCTCTAAAATAGCAATCAATGTTAAGCTTAGACTAGACTTCTAAAATTTACGGATTTAGTATGAGCCCGGGTATAAATTTGGGGTAATTTTGTCATAAAAATGTTTAATAAACTTGATTAATCATTTAGGGATAGTTTGGTTATATAAAATAATTAAATACTTATATGAACAATTTTTATTTATGGTCATTAATGGTCTTCTAATGGAAATCTTAAGGTAAGATGAGTTTTAGATAATAAAACTCAATGACTGATGTTTTGAAGAGTCATGACGAATTTAAGAGAAATATAAGAAAATATGATGCATTTCATTTAATATCCCTTTTATGGGAGCGTTTATTTAAACAGTTATCTATCCAAAAACATGAGTCATCAATGGGTCAGATCTGGGCTGGGACATGATAGAACCGGACCCTAACCAAGAAAAAATTGTACTGTCCCAGTTTCAAACCACACCCTATAAGGAGTTCACATCGCAAAAAACGCCCCACAGCACATCTCAGTATGCATTGAGAACATCTTCCGGACTGACCCGATTGACCCAATTATATAACCTTCCGCTTAATATGTGGTTAACAGCAAATTGAGAAAGGGGACAAGGTGGTCGAAGATCGAAGCTTCGTTAGGGAATGAACTCGAAATATGAAACATATAACCCTGTAAAATGAAACATTAATCACAGTGCCACAGTGTCGTAGCGCTGCTACCTTGAACGGGTTAAGTCTGAAAGCCTGAAAATTAAAGAACTCAATAATGCCTTTCATTAGCAAAAAGAAAATGAATGAACATTTAAACGTTCAGATAACAACATAAAGAAAGAGAGAGAAAGATAATTCTACAAATCTGCAGTGAAGAAATAAAGAAGAATATCCCAAACACCATCAACTGGTACTCAGATCCCCCTTCACCTATGTCAAAGAAAGTAAATGGCATTTGCAATCAACCAAGAAGAATTGGCTAGCACACTCAATGCATTTACCTTCTTTGACATAGAAGAAAGTGTGTACTACATTCTCTCTCTGCAGGCTACCATCCATCGGCCATCACTCGGTAGGTTTGTTGAAACGTGACAAAGGATTGCCGAAGATATATCTTGTTCTTGCCTGTACTTTAATATCGACGTTTCTTTGTATCTGTTGGACACAAAACGTGTTAATATCGACGTTTCTTTGTATCTGCTGGACAGTCCAACTATTAATCTGTTAATTGAGAATTGTTTAGGGAAAATTTCTGATAGGTACCCTGTACTTTAGGTCGAGTGTCAATTTAGTATCCGAACTTTAAAACACGATAATCTAGTACCCGAACTTTCATTTTGTGACAATTTAGTACCTACTGTTAATAGACCGTCAGTTATGTATATCACGTGACGTCATGTGCGATTTAAGACTTTTAAAAATGTTAAAATTACCCTTGAACACTGTTCATCATCTTCTTTCAAAAGAAAATGAAACATAGCCTCATGTGCGATTTTTGACTGATTTACCTCCGACTAGGGGAAGGTTGCAGCAGCGACTACAACTGGAAAGTAACAAGAAAAATAATATAGTTTAATAAACCTGTTTAACTGATTAAACTAAGGATAAACCTATGGTCCAGCTGACATGGACCGGCTGCCAGCTCGTCTTCCATGCAACTTCCCTGCATGTACGGCCACCAATCACCAGCTCACCACCGTGCCCTTTCAGGCTTTAACAGGTGGCGTTCCCCTGAATTCAACCTCAACCGTGTACAGAAAATCTCGGTCCAGACCAGCTGGACCACAACCGAACTTGAAAAAGAAACGGAAGAAGAAGGCAACCGAGATGAATGAGAAAACTGAAACCCACCTTTAGCTGAGCCAAAGCGAGCGGTGTCTCGGTAAGGAATTTGATAGCAAGAGTCATGATGGTGGAAGTGGTCTCATAACCGGCGACCAGTAGGGCGAACAAGAAATCGACGATCTCCTTGTCTGAGAACCCGCCCTCTCCCCCTCCAACAATGCTGCTAGCATGTCTTTCTTTTTACTCTCTCCTTCTCTACTCTCCTCTCTCCTCTCCATCACGATCAACCGAAGTGCCTCTTCTATCTTCGTTCGAGCCTGCATATCTATATTCATTCAACAAACCCAGTAGAATTTCAGGAGGATGGGTCCAAACTAGTGTCGAATCAATGGATATAAGATATAACAAGTCTATTACTTTGATCACTCGGCCATAAGTAGTGAAGAAGAAAGGTAGGGGAACCGAGAAGAAGCCCTCAATGAGGAGAAGGTATTCCTTTCTCAAGCTCTTAGTCCATTCCCCAGGAGTGAAACTCATCAACTGCTTCACCGTCAATTTGGTGCTTGAGCAAATCCAGCTGTTTGTTCCTTTAGTCATGGTGAGCTGCAGATCGGAGCGTTGTCAATCCTCTTGCTTGGGTGGATGGAGGGGTGGGCTGGGTGCTGAATTTCAGATATGTGCTTTTTAGTCAGATTTTCTGAGAATTGTTCGTGCTCTCTTCGTTATGGATAACTGTGTACGGATTTGCTGTAGCTATGTAGCAGAAGTGAAACCGGGAATCAATATCACCACCATAGCCAGATGCAAAGAAGCCACATTCCATGCCCAATGGAATTGAATTGCCTCTGATAAATGGTTCAAGGAAATACAAGCAAAGCTTGGTTAGTCAATCTTTATTTTCTTCTTCTCCTGGGCAATCTCTTTTTCTTTCTCGCATGTGGGTTATGAGTGGTTTAAGTCGTTTCTGCAGAAGCAAGTTAGGGACTTGGAGCAATCCCCAAGTTAGTCTTCCATGCAGCGTTCTCGATCCTCCCGCTTGGGTCGACGGAGGGGTGGGTTGGGTGTTGAACTGGAGGGTGGATGGAGGTGGTGGCGGTTGTCAAGGGGAAGATCGGAGTGGGGGTGCAATGACCGTTTTGTTTCGTGGAAGAGGTGAGATCTGTTGCTACTGGTGTAAGTTGAGGAGGGGACAACGACGATGACGAGAGCGGTGGAGGATGAGGAGACGGTGGTGCTGGCCATTGCTTTTTGATCCTCATCGTCGACGGTGTGGATGGAGAGAGAAAGTGAGGGAGAAGATGATATGCCTAAGATCGAAACTTACCGTCACCGACAGTC